TCATGCAACCTACTCATATGCCTTTAATTAACAGTAGGCACATTTCTACCATGCTATAATGCTGAAAGAACTGAAGAGATGCTGTTCACAGTTATCATATCTAATATCTTACTCTGGTCAAAGAATGTTTCTTTTACCTAAAAACTTGTGTTGAATAATTTTTATTTTCTCTCAATAATATTACTTTGCTAAGATACCATGCATAATGTTTCTGGTCTTGTGTGTAGCAACTTACTGTCTATTAGATCATCAAAGGCAAAGGCCACAAACATTGGTACCAACACTAATTTCTATAGTATTTTATGTGCATCAATGTGTCACCTACACATTCTTTTTGTTGTAGAGCAAACACTCAGGGCCTCAGGTTTTGGTGAAATGCTCTACATAGGACCCAATAGAACATTTCAGTTTTCATATAAGTCTGTTCTGGCACAAGCTAGGAAAACTCCAAGATCCAACCCAGATCACTGTAGTGATCTGCAGTGAAACCTTTTGCAAGCTATACCTTTATGAATCTGCTGTCCACACTCTTAGAGCTCATTGCCTATCTCAGCAGATGAAGGCACTGAACCTGAGTAAGCACGTACGACTCATTTAAAATTGGGAATCAAAAACTCTTGAAATTTAAAGTCTATCTCTTTTTTTTTCCTATTTCCACACAGTTTAGTCCAGTGTTTAAAAAAAATATTTATTAAGTGCCTGCTATGTGCAAGGCATTGTTCTATGCCTTGGAAATATAAAGAACAATATGACATAGATCCTACTTTAAAATAATTCAAAAATAATGGGAAGTGAGACATAAGCACAGCAACTATGATACAAAGGAGAGTGTAATAAATGTAAGGGAGAGGTACAAGCAAAGTACTATGAAAATTTTGATGAGGGAAATATTATTTTAAAGTTATTGATCTCTTGATCATTTCCATTTCCCAATATATCTCTCCCCATCCTCATCTCAGAGGATGTTATCTTTTAAAAGAAAAGATAAAGAAATAAAAAGTTCAGAAAACTAATCAACACATCAATGAAGTTTGACTTTATATATAGTGTTCCACAACCATAGTTCTCCACCCCTGGAAATAAGGGACGGAGGTATATTCTCATATATTTTTTTATTTTTTTAGGGCCAGCTTGATCATTATAATTTCACAGCATTGTTTCAATTTTTTGTTATTCTTTCCATTTACATTGTTGTAGTCGTCGTGTATACTCGTTTCTCTTGTTCTGACCATTTCACTTTTTTCAGCTTACATGTCTTCTCATGCGTCTCTCCATATTCATTTTTCTTATAATTCAGTAATATGTTGTTACACTTACAGACACAATTTATTTAGCCATTCCTCAGTTTATGGGCATCTACTTTGTTTCTAGTCGTTTACTACTATAAACAGTGTGGCTATAGTTTTGTGTATATAGGAACTGGAAAGATTACATTCTATCTTAGAGTTAGAATTGCCAAACCAGTAGCATCTCTGAAGAAGCAAGGTAATATCATGAGTAACCTGCTCATTTTTCTCTTTTGTGGTTGTTAGGGAAGGAACAGCAGAGGCCTTGGTCCTTGGGAAATTCCCTATTGACCTAGATCAGAGGATCACAGATTGAGAGTTTGGAGAGAACTTGTGTCAATATATTCTCTCATTTTACAGATGAGTAACTGTGGTTGCGAGGGGTCCAAGTCCAAGTGACTCCAAATTCAGCACCAATGTGAACCAAAGTAAGCTTTGTGGAAGTTATCTAACCTTCACCAAATGCATTAAAATGGCGTATTATACCAGAGAACTTAAGGATGGTACAGGCTTATGATCCTATTTCACCCAATTTCCCTAAGAAACATACTACAAATAAAATGATGAATATTCTATCACAAATCATGCAGTTAGATCTTTTAATCCTAACAAGCTTTTGGGGTGATTGGCTCTTCATTGAGGTAAAGTCATCTCTGGTCTCAGAGAACATTATTGCCTATATTTTTACAATTGAAGATTTAACTAGTCAAGATTTCATAGATTTTCAAATCATAGCTCTTTTGCTCAGATCTGTTATGTTCTAATGTCATAGCTATTATTTAGCTGTGCAAATGAGACTACATGTAACAAGCAGGATTAAGGAAAAAGACTAGACCTGTGTTTTCTTGGAGTTAAGGAGCTGCCTGGTGTGGAACCCACTGTATTAATGTACGTCAGCTCCTTCTCTGTAATTCATAGTCTTAGGATATTGTATAGAATTCTGAGGGATAATGTGATTGCCTAGTGTGACGTAGACAGTATTTGTCAAAGGCAGTACTTGACCTCAGGTCTTCTAGGCATTGAAGCCAGCTCACTGTCCATAATACCATGCTTAAGAATAGGAAAATATATAAAAAGAAATATGATCAAATTTGTTTTTGATACATTGTGATTCTATAGGTGCACGTCTAAAATGGGTCATGACATTGAAATAGTTCAAAATGGTTTATTCAATAGTTCTTAGATTTATGTGGTTTTTTTTTTGCATTTTATCAAACAAATATTTACTGACTGATGCTTTCTCATTCTAAATCTGGTATCAAAACTGGGTCCATTTTATAACTTAATGGGAGAAAGTCTGGACTTGGCTAAGTTCATATTATTCATGCTAGCCTGGAAATAGGAAACTATCAGAGATCAGGTAGTGTATGTTCTTTTTTTTTTTCCTGTTTCTGTTCTTTCTTTTTCTTCTGTTTCTACATTGTATTTGCTCAATCTTCAAAAACAAGCATTTATCAATTTTTTTACTATTCAGTTGGTGTTGAAAATAGTTGAATATTAAGCCTTTCTGGGTCTCAGTTTCCTCATCTGTAAAGAAGGTATAATAAGGCTTGGCTTGCTACAAACATAAAATGTGTTATTTCAAGGATCAAATGAGATAGTGATGATCTAATATGTAATATACTTTGAAATAATAAAGCAACTTTAAAACTGTTAACCTATGGATGTAAGGGATTATGCTTATTGTGCATTTTTAATGAAATCTATGAATTACAATATATAGTATGTATGTGCAGTATTTGTTGTCTATCCAAGTATCCAAATATTAAATTTATTTTCATTTCTCAGTAGATAAGTTTCTCTTTTCAGATTAAAAAACAGAAATGAGTTATCTCTAGTAAAGGCCCACAATTGATTAATGAGATGGCCAGAATTAAAATTTCTATTTCTTAAATCTCAGCACACCATTCCATAGTTATTGTTCTCTGAAAACTGATGATTCCTCTTCCTATTGTATTTTTGTAATTTAAATCAGTTTTTTCTGTCTGATTTAGTTGGATTACTAGGAACAAAATGCCCCAGAGGGCTAAGGTTTAAAGATACCTATGGAACGCCAGCTGGTTCTATAGCTTATAATGTGCTTTTCTTGATGTTTCACTTGTTTTAGTATAGGAGATAAGATATGTGTGTGTGTGTGTGTGTGTGTGTGTGTGTGTGTGTGTGTGTGTGTGTGTATGTGTGTGTGTTTCCTCAACACACCTAACATTAGGTCAACAGTTGGGGAGTATTCTGCGTTTAGTCTGAAATGGAGAAGAGAACTTTGGATTTTTAATATAGATCATTAAGTACTTTCTTACTTTTAATTTTTATCTCGTTACTGATATTACATTTGTGAATGGCTATTCATTTAGATAAAGTAGATATTTATGATATTACATTTAAATGTAAAGTTAATTAAATGGTTGGCTTAGTTAGGTACTCCTGAGGGTTGAGGAGATAAGACCAGGGGTTATCAGGACCTGGTCTGGTTGAGATGTCATTAACTTTTTGACTGTCCCTGTAAAGACATTCTGACATAGGACTATGTTCACTAATTTGCTTCATAATGAGTGAGCTTGTTCAAATCACTCATGTATTCAATTATATGCAACAGTACCTTTCACGTAACACATATTCAATAAATACTTAATCAACTAAATTCTTGGTTCTTTCATAGGAAACTCTGCAGATTGCCTAGAATTCTTTGTGCTTCCTAAAGTTGAACGTCCAAAAATGGATTTTAAAATGTTTATGTCTTTAACACAGAGAAGGATGAAAAGTAGCAAATCAAAATTAATGAACATATTTCCCCTACCTCCCTAATCTATATGTATATTGGTAAAATGAAGAAATGAAATAATGGTCCAAATAATTCCTATGAAGTGAAAATATGTTTTGCTTTATTTCTCTTTATGTTTCAGGAAGGCAATATTTACTTAGGCCTTAATCATTGGCTCAGTGAACTATTACCTCAAGTCTCCACTTTATTTTATATTCCTACACTTGGCAAGTGACTAAATAGTACAACCAAAAAGAAAAACTAGTGCTTTCAACACTAGAAGATCAACTCTCTCACTTGGACCTATTTTCTAATATAGATGAAAATTAGTGTTAATATCCTAAATTCTTATTCCTTTCCTCAGGCCATATACATTCTTCTATTTGCTCTCAAAAGATCACAGGTTATCAAAACATATGGTCTTAAATTTGAGTGGAGTATTTTTTTTTTTTGCATCTCTAAAGCCAAACAAATGCACATTTAAATCAGTCTTCTTCAAGTTGTGTTTGTATCTCCATTGATTGGCACATGTTATTCATTTATTCATTCATTCAAAAATTACCAGTAAGAATTCTGACTTTTTCTTTCTTTCCATAATTGCTTATTTTTATAATGAGTCATCTTCTTAGAGGGTTTAAAAAATTCTTTTCATAGGATGAGTTTCCACTATAGGACAAAAAAATTAGTTCAGCATGCCCACTAGGAGTTTTAGGCAGAAGTGCAAGTAGAGATGAAAATTATTCAGGTTCAACAATAATCAAATAATTTAAAATTAATTGACTGTCTGTATAAAATCATTTCCATTCTTAACTCTGGTGATGGAAAACAATCCTTCACATGTTCTAACACAGTTTATAACCAGTTACAGGCCAAACTTTCCCTCTTTCCATTCATACAGTTTCAAGAAAGAGATAAGCAGGAGTTTCACCTAAGTCCATATTCTGAGCTAGCAGGTGCTAGACATAACTGGTAGAGGTCTTACTTGCCATCATTTTTTGGTGCTGAGGTTTGCACTGCACTCGGTGTTCTGTTGATGAACATCTATGCCTCCTCCTCCTTCTTTTGCAGAAATAAACACTACAGAGAAGAACTCCTCCAATAAAGAAAACTGCTGAAGTTGTCCAGCCAAGGAAGAGTGCAGCACCCAGCTCCCGTTTCTGTCCTACATGAATAGTTGGGTTGTAGAAGTCCTGGATGATGAGATTGGCTGTCCAGCATAGAGGAATCAGAATGATGATGCCTGTCAGGATGAAAAGGACTCCAGAGGCTCCCAGCAGGTAAGACTTGACTTGCTCATTAGAGCCAGTGCACCGGGCTTGCTTCGTGCTGAAAATACCAACAAACAGAGCAATCAAAGACAAAGCAATTGCCACACACATGAGCGCTCGGGATGTTTCTAAAGCGGGTGGGAGAGCCAAAAGAGAGCCATAATATTTGCACTGCCACCTGACATGTGCTTGTTGGACACAAGTCATCCAAAGTCCTTCCCAGATCCTTTCAAATATCACAATGTTGCTGCCGATGAAGGCAGACACTCTCCATTGAGGCAGTAGAGTTGTAGCAAGAGTCCCAATGACTCCAAGGAATCCAAGAACCAGTCCAGCAATTTGCAGTGGATACAAAGCCATCTCCTTCTCCTAGAAGATAGTTGGACTTTAATGGCAAAAGCCAGAGCTTTGAAATTTCTTATAATTTCTTATTGTCTCTTGTGATCTTTTGCACTGATACTGCCTATGAGTCCAAATAAGCAGCAGAAACCCAGCTCAGAGAAGCTAAAGTACTTACTATATTAAACATGACTTTTCATTTTACTCACATACTCATTTCTATATGTATATCTTCCCCTTTAGGTGTAATAGCTTTCTAAGCCAATTAAAAACCGGGCAGTGGTATATCAAGAAATATTACATTCAGATTCCGGTATTTCTCATGGTATTATTGTCTTAGTAATGCTATAATTAAGTGTCAAAGTTTCTATTGCGGCATAATAATTACAGAGTTGAAGACTTCCTGCTTAAAGTTACTTTGTTATAAAACTGTAAGAGGTCGAGCCACAACTGAAGAAAATGTCAAAACATCATTAGTTCTTTGTGTTTATTGTTAATTTATCCTTATTTAATGTTGATCCTTGTAATTTTGGACGAAAGGTATAACTTTAGCCTATAGAATTTCCAAACTTATTTGGCCTACCACCCCCTTTTAAAAAATTACCCAGCGCCCCCCTGAAAATCTACTTTCTTTAATCCTTTAACAGTTATTTTGAAATTTGCATCATTTGAAACTCCAACTGCCTCCCTGGATTACTCCAGTGCCAGCCAGGGGGTGGTATTGCCTGCTTTGGGAACGAACTTATGAAACCTTCTATTAAAACTCATTTAAATTTGTCAGATGCATTATAAGAGAATGGTTTTTAAAGAAGAATGCTAGAGATTTCATAGCTTATCCTTTAGGAGGAAAGGAAAGTTAATGAAATAATCCTACTTACCACTGACTTCTTAATGGCTAAGTAGTATCTTCTTCTGGTGTGTTGTAACAATGAAACAATTACCAAAACACAAATTTGATTAAATGTTTTTTTTAAAAAAGTGAAACATTTACTAAAATAGTGTTTTGGTTGATGATACAAAAATTACCTCAACAAGCTAAGTCAGATAAAATCAATAAGCGTTTATTTATTAAGTGCCTAATACATACTAGGCACTAGCACTAAGTCCTGGGGATATAAAGAAGGGAAGAAAACGTTTTTGCTCTCAAGGAGCTCACAGTCTAATGGGGGAGACAACGTGGAAGCAACTATGTACAGAATTAAGTGGTATCAGAAAAGTCTTTTTGCACAAGGTGGGATTTTAGCTGCAACTTGAAGGAAGTCAGAGAACCCAGGAGGCAGAGATGAGAGAAAATAGGGTAACTGCCAAAGACAGAAACTTATTTAGAATTAGAATTGAGATTTTTTCCCCTTAAAACTAGAAGGAAACTTGAAGGTCATTTTAGAGAGGTAAAGAATAGGAAAGTGACTTTTCCAAAGCCACAGTTATTTCATGACATTGTTTAATAAATAATAAATTAATGAAGTTTAATTTTGAAACTTTTTAACAGGTCTACATTTGAAGAATTTAAAACTTCAAGGGCAATTTTCAATGGTAATGAAAGAGGCTACCTTTTCAGTATATCATAGTGGAAATCTGTTATCAACAATTATCATTTTAAACTCCCATTTCTTTTTTTTTTTTAAGGTTAAACTCCCATTTCTATTGTCAATCACCAAATATGAGGTATTTTTCTCATAGTTAGGTCCTAGAACAGTAAATAACCTTTTGCACTTTATCTCTCTCCTACTTCTGCCTTAGGAGTAAGACTAACAAACTAGTCTAGCATAGTTATAATACTTTACCCAAAGAAAATATAAGTAGTATGCAATTAGTTACAAGTACAGATAATTCAGACTCTAGATATCTCCAGTGTAGCTGACATTTAGTGTGGCCATTACATCGGACATAGCACCACTGCTAAAGCCTCTTACTACACCAAAAAAAGTTGGAATAGATCAATGGAACAAAATAGAGATTCTAAAACAGTCAACTTAATTTAGGAATTTTTTTTTTTTGTTTTGGACTGGGCCTATGGTATCATTGGTATAGGAAAATCCTCATAAGGAAACTCCCTCCACCACTCAATGCAGGTTGGAACCTGCTTTTCAACTTACAGTTTTAAAGAGTTGGTGTTTGGGGCAGAGGCTTAATGACTTGTCCAGAGTCATAGTTCATGTAAAAAAATAGTACTTGAAAAACCAGGGAGGGGGAGAAAATTTAAAACTCAAAATCTTATGGAAGTGAATGTTGAAAACTGAAAATAAATAAATTAAATTTAAAAAAAAAGAAAAACCTGAAGAAAATAAAAATTGGTTAAGGACCAATTATTTAATAAATATTCTTGATTAGTGTTGGTAATTAATAATTTGTCTAGCAATTGGTTAGCAATATGGTGGGAAATAGATTTAGAACCGTAACTAATATCCTGTACCTCAGTGAAATCCAGCAGAATGAAAACTTACACATACAAAAATTACTTCAGAAATGGATGAAAATGGAATAATGTAACTATCTTAATTATGGAGGAAAGATAATTTTTAAATATTATACAAAGAGAAGGAGCAGATATAATGATAATAATAATAATAACAAATATCTAGCATTTATATAGCACCTGCTATGTGCCAGCCTGTGGCACTATGCTAAGTGCTTTACTAATATTATCTCCAATTCTGTCTGAGAATTTTGACCATGGAGATATACATGAGGAACTGACAGTTATTTCTTGGAATTTATTCCTTGGAATTTCAGACTTGTCCATCCTCTGAGGATAATAAGTTGCTCCAAAAAAAAAAAAGCAGCCCTTCTAATCATTGGCAAGAGTTGGATGGCAGAAAGAATGCGACCTTGGTCATGAAGAAGTTACAATATTCTGATCCAGCCTAGGGAAACTAGAGGAGAGTCAGGGGAAAGGTATTTGATTCCGGGGACTCCCTAGTAACACAAAAGTGGAAGGATAGGTTAGGACTGGAATGCAGCAAGAGGACAGGTGTATTCTCATTGCATGAGTGGGGTGTGGGATGTGATTGAGGTGCAACTCACAGAATCTAGCTCACTGATTCCAGACCATTTAGAGAAAAATTTCGAAGGAATCCTCTATGATGGAGGATCTTAGAAACTATCTTAAAGAAATGCTGATTTATGGCATGATCACAGTATCCAGCATTGCTCATGCATCATCCACAGTGGTGGTGCATATGAAAAATGGAAAGATATAGATGAGTGTTGATTACCAAACTTTGAACAAAAGGAATAAAGTAGATCAATGTGCTATGCCACGTGTTCAAGATGCCTTGGATTATTTGGTAGGCATCCAGTGGTTTTCAGTCTTGGACCTACATAGTGGTGATAGTACCAGATTGTTTTATTCAAGGAAGACAAAGAAAAGACTGCTTTCATCTGTCTGGCTGGATTTTACCAGTTTGAGTGAATGCTAGAAGGCATTTCAGAGGTACTAGCCACTTTGCAAAAGTTGATGAAGAAAGTAGTTGGAGAAATGAACTATCTAGAACTGTTAGTGTATCTATTGTCTTTGGCAAGACACTGGAGTAACATGAGAAGAAACTGACAAAAGTGTTAGATTGGCTGGAAGAAGCTGGTCTGAAGTTGTCAATGGACAAATGCCAGTTTTATAGGTCTTTGTTAAGTATGTGGACCATGTTGTTTCCCAAGAGCTGTAAGCACTGATCCAGAAGTGAGAACATTTCTCAAGGGGCCATACCCACAAAATCTTAGAAACTTAAGAGCTCTTCTGGGATTTGGTGGTTACTATTCCAGATTTTTAAAGAACTATGCTAATGACTGAACCCATTAAATGACCTCACTTAGGCACATATGATTGCAGACACAGATCCAAAAGGCAAGAGAGGCAAAATTGCCTTAAAGCACACAAAGTCTTTCGGAGATAAATGGACAGACAAATATGAAAAAGGCTTAGAAGATTTAATAAATTGCCTTACCCATATTGACTTATGCAGATCCAAATAAATTTTTTGTTCTTGGATGCCAAATAATGGCTTGGAAGGTTTAAAAGCTGTCCTATACCAAGAGAGTGACAATAACCAGAGGCCAATTGGATTCACCAGAAGAGATTTGGCTGACAGCAAGTCTTAATATAAGCCTGAGTTCTTATCTCTGAAGTGGTCTTAAAAGACTATGTATATGAAGAAAAACTCCAATTCTGTATTGATGAAGTCAATTGATAACCCATTGACAATCTTGGCCAGTGCCAAGTTGAATTCTGCTTGCCATAGATGGGTAGCAGCACTGGTCAGTTACGATTTTAGCATATATGATAGGCATGACAAGACTAATATGGATGCAGACCCTTTGTCCAGAATGCCACTAGAACTGTGGTGATACCAGAAGAAAGTGTGAGAGCAATCCTTGACACTCAAGGTACAAGACTATAGCTGGACGGAAGGAGAGCTGAGAGCTCAGGACTTCTATCAGACAGCATGCCAAGTGCACATGGAAGTCTTGTGACATTGCACCAATCTTCCTTGCCACAGTTGTCTGCAGATGAATGGAGGCAAAAAAAGTTGGCTGATGAAGGACTGAAAATAAAGGATTAAGTAAAAACACCAAAAAGCAGGGTAATGATCCTACTAATCTAAAGTTCTTCACAGCATAGAGCACCTTACTACTGAGGCCGTGGCAGAAGTTGGGCTGTGCAGTGGAGTACTGTATCAGACTGTGACTGATCCCACACAGGGAGCCAGGAAGCAGCTGGTGCTACCAAAGCATACAAGTCACGTATGACTTGCATGATGTCTTTGGACATATGGGTCAAGAGAGGACTCTGAAACTGGTAAGAAACTAATTTTATTGGCTTAAGATGGTAGCAAATGTCACCAAGAAGCGTGAAGCTTGTGCCAAATGTATACAAAGGAAAACATTGCCAACTCATACTGCATATTTGCAGCGTATAAGTAATAGCAAGCTTTTGCAACTTGTCTGTATTGACTTTCTGTCCCTGGGAGGAGATAAAAATATCAATCATATCTTGGTGGTGACTGATCATCTCTCCATTCATCATCATTTAAGGTATACATAAGCATACTCAGTCAGAAACCAAAAAGTATATTGTTGCTAAAGTGTCATGGGAAAAGTATTTTTCGGTGTATAGGCTCCCTGCTGGGATCTGTTCTTACTAAGGCAGAGACTTTGACAACAAATTAGTCAAAGAAATGTTGGCCGTGGCTGATATCAAAAAGTCTAGGGCTACTCCTAGTCATCTTCAAGGAGACTCATAGCCTGAACATTTTATTTTATTTTCCAATTTATTTTTAGTTTTCAGCATTCATTTCCACAAGATTT